AGAAAGAGAGAGAGGAAGAGGGAGAGAGGTGATGAGGGCGGTCAAAACCATGAATAAAAATAAGGACGGAAGGATGATATAGAGTACCAGGTCTGTTATGAAATACGTCTGCATTTAAGAGCACACGTTTCCCGGGTGTAAGGACTGTACATCAAGAGGCAGGTTTCGTATCCAAGTGGGCATAGGGGCATGTACGCTGCAGACCATGTTTATTATGCCGCGCTGAGCCGATCAGTTACCTTCAGCTTCGATTTTTTTTCCTTTTTTTTCTTTTTTTTTTTTTTTGTCTTGTATGTTTTCTTTTTTTTTTTTAGCTTGACCCCAGCAATATTCTTTCTTTTCTTTTTTTACCTTGACCTTTTTTCTTTTTTTTTTTTTGTCTTGTATGTTTTCTTCTTTTTTTTAAGCTTGACCCAGCAATATTCTTCTTTTTTTTTTTTACCTTGACCCCCCTTTTTTTTTTTTTTCTTTTTTTTCTTTTTTTTGTCTTGTATGTTTTCTTTTTTTCTTGCTTGACCCCAGCAATATTCTTTCTTTTTTTGACCTTGACCCCAGCGGCTGATGCTACTACTCGCTCGCAGCTGAGAGGTGGGGACCTGGACGGGAGCGAACCCTGCCTTCCTCTCGTGTGTATATATGTTTGCCATAATGCTTTGAGGAAGACGAGAGAGGTGGAAAGGTCAGAGGTCGCCAAAAGCAAAGGTCAGAGATGTATGTGAGCATCATAAGCCGGATTACAATGCGGATTTCGGTAGCGAGTTCCGCTGTGGTTTCCGAACGGTTTCGGAAGCTCCGGCCACGCTCAGCGGAGGGGCGTGCGTCAAAACAGATTATGTTGCTGCCTTATTACTGTTATATAATCGCGTTTATTCCTTATTGTACGCGATAATCCCTTACGTCACTATGTATAGGGATAACACAAGATAGCAATAACGGTTGAATTACTGTTGATTTAAATCCTCATTCGACGTTCTTCGTTTCAAAATCATTTATTCAAAAATCGACACATCCACCTGTTGATATTTTGCCACATTTGCATAAATCCTAGCGGTGCTATTTATACGTCCAGTCGTATTTTGGATGGATAAACTCACGGGCCGAAGAGCAGATGATGTAGAATCTACGCTAAAATGGAGAAGTTTTAGACTTTGCAGACAGATGGCGTTTTGCCTCCGCCCCCTCCCCCTCTTCCCCCTCCCCTTCCCCTCTTCCCTCCCCCCTTGTTTCTTGCATCTCCAATGCAACTGATCTTGCGAGACAACTGAACAATGAAGTAGGTCTTATCATATGTATATTCTGTCTAGAGGATTCAAAATTGCGCGAATATCTTGGGGGAAGAATGGAATTTCTTTTATGGAGCATGCTATTGCCGAATTTGTGGTAACTAGATACATTTTATGGTTACTTGCCTACGATAGCTATAATTTCAGCTGGTAGTAAAGTGAAAAAAAGGATATGATAATGCAAAGAAATTTCGCCACGCTAGATTTATGTACGAAACTGAATGAGGATTAAATCTTTTACTGTTACCAGGTTGCGAAGGCAATAATTTCATCTGACAGTGAAAAGTAAAAAATAAATAATAATCAATAATCATGAACTGTAAAAAAATAATAATCATCACGAACTTGGAAATCTGCCACGCCATAATGACACACGGAATTGAATCGTAATTATTTCTTCATCTCCAACACGACGACGAAATCTGTAAATTCCAGCTGGCAATAGACGCAAAGAACGGAGGGAGGGAAATCGAGGAATTTCGCCACGCCATGCAAGCCCCCGAGCAGCGTGCGTTATCAACGGCTTGTTCCTCAGTTTAAAGTGACAGCGCTCGCGATCGGCGGTCAGACAAGCGGGCAAATGGCGGCCGAGTGTATGGCGAGTTTAGGAACATGGCTGGGAACTCATTCTACTGCAGCGTGTATATGTAAATGAGATAAAACGGGCGAGATAGGTTGATACGCTGTTCGCCCCCAGAGCGTTTAGTTTATTTTTTAAGGGTTTTTGATTGGCAGTTCTCCTTCGGCTTTCTGCGTGGAGGGTCCTTTGTCCCGGATTTTGGAGGGGGGGGGGCGTAAAGTGCATAGCAGCTGCCCAAATTAGGTATGATTCGTGTTTGTGGGCTTATGTACACATTTATGGGGGAAGTTGATGGTATTATCATATTTAAAGAAGGAAACAAAAAAATTCTGTTCCACTTTATGTAGGGAATTTGAGAGTTTTGAGTGATATATGTACACCTTGATTTGTTTTTGATGGTATTATCATATTTTTTAAAAATCTGGTCCACTTTATGCTGTAAATTTGAGACTTTGAGTGATATATATTCACTTTGATTTGTTTATATCTCTCTCCAAATATCCTTACTATTACACACGCACACGCACGCGCTCACAAACATTCACAAACTGCATGATTATCTTGTTTCCATCAAATTTTACATATCCTATTCCTGTTCAGAGCAAACATCCCATTTCTCCTCTTTGCCTCATCGTATTTTACAGCATTTAAAACGGTATCTAAACTACAACTGAATTAAACTGTCTGAAATTTAATCTAGTTTCGAAATTTCGGAATGTTTATGCGTTGTGGGCGTACCCCCCCTCCCCCCCCCCCCCCCCCTCCACGAGCCACACCCTCCTCATGTCGCGTCAATCTTTAGTTGCTTGGTATATCACCCCCCCCCACGGACACCCACCAAGACGCTTCTTGAACCACCGAACTACCACCTGTGACTGCCATCTGTGGCTACCACCTGTGGCTGCCATCTGTGGCTACCACCTGTGACTGCCACCTGTGGCTACCATCTGTGTCTACCACCTGTGGCTACCACCTGTGGACTGCCACCTGTGGCTACCACTTGTGACTGCCATCTGTGGCTACCACCTGTGACTACCATCTATGACTACCACCTGTGGCTGCCTGTGACTACCACCTGTGGCTACCACCTGTGACTACCACTACCACCTGTGGCTACCACCTGTGACTACCACTGTGACTACACCTGTGGCTACCACCTGTGACTACCACCTGTGGCCTACCACCTGTGGCTACCACCTGTGCTACCACCTGTGGCTACCACCTGTGACTACCACCTGTGACTACCACCTGTGGCTACCACCTGTGGCCACCTGACACCAACCACCTGTGGCTACCACCTGTGACTACCACCTGTGGCTACCACCTGTGACTACCACCTGTGACTACCACCTGTGGCTACCACCTGTGACTACCACCTGTGTTGTGGCTACCACCTGGTGTGGCTACCACCTGTGGCTACCACCTGTGAACCTGTGGCTACCACCTGTGCTGTGACTACCACCTGTACCACCTGTGACTACCATACCACCTGTGACTACCACCTGTGGTGTGACTACCACCTGTGGCTACCACCTGTGACTACCACTACCACCTGTGACTACCACCTGTGGCTGTGACTACCACCTGTGGGTGACCTGTGACCACCTGTGGTGTGGAACTTCAGAACCAGACAGATACCACGTTATATCTTCACGTCTCACAGCTGGTGGATTTCCGAACTCACGACATATCAATTTTTTCACCTTAACCATAAAAAAATGAAAAAAATAAATATCACATATATAATATATTGGCCAATCAATCATTAATAATCACTTATTCAGTTTATCGTCAATTCCCTCTCCCTCTCACCCCCCCCCCCCCTGTGTGTGTGTGTGTGTGTGTGTGTGTGTGTGTGTGTGTGTGTGTGTGTGTGTGTGTGTGTGTGTGTGTGTGTGTGTGTGTGTGTGTGTGTGTGTTGTGTGTACGTGCGTGCTTGTGCGCGTGCTTCCGTGCGTGGTGTGAAAAAATCAAAAGCATATAATTCGAAATCCGAAGATGAAGCAGGCAGAAAGACCTCCATACTCGGCAGCCTTCCTCCATCAGCCTCGATGTTCACTGCAGACATACTCCATTCTCGCGGCAATCAAGATGGCGCAGGACCCCAGAAGCCCATCCACAGGACACTGCCAACCCTCGGCAATCTAAACGCATCGCACCCAGTGGCGAGGGAGGTTCTAGACCCCTGCGGTGATGTTAGCACGTAAGAAAGTGGGTCTGCGTTGTGTTGGGTGCCTGCGCATGTTGGTGTCCGTGGGATGCAACACGCTGCAGTTCTCCCTCTCCCACACTGACACGAAACACCGTAGCAGATGCCATCGTGACAAATGAAGGGAGCAATGGAGGTCTACCTTTTAACAATATACTGCGAGAGATTAGAGATGGCCTTGGCTGTTAGGGAGACCAGCGTCTATCCCAGCTGACACACGCGCTTGTTAACATGGTTGGTAATCGCGCACACAATATGAACTCATGTGTGGTTAATGGCTAAAGGTGATGCCCCTGTGTGTGCTGGAGGTGATACCAAGAACCATTAACGATACCACATGTAGAATGCACAACTCTCTGACTTTGCAAGGACTCACGTGTACCTGTCTCAACTACAGACTGGAGAAGACTTGTGTGGACACATATTCTTTGTTGCTTAATGAAAATATTTTGAAAGGATATGAATTGTAAAAGTTCATAAAGTGTGTAATGTAGATGCATTCTATATGTTATTTATTGTTAATGGACCTATAAAAATAACTTGTCGGTTTTACTATTGAAGTTTGATCTTAAATTTATCTCGATCATATTAAAATTGTGTACAGCTATATAACATGCTTGTCATTAGCTGTTAACAAGGTATAAGTTATAAATAATCATCCACTGATACCCACATGCACATACTCCTGTATACACATAAACGGGTATACAATATAATTAACCATTTGTCTATTTGTTCTCATCCTATATATTTAGAATATAAACAAAATCAAAAAGGAATCTGAATATAATTGATATAAGGTCACCATTCAATACATACATTTGTTTACCATTTCACATTTTGTAAAGGAAAATTCTACCACGGTCTCCCTTCACATATTCGTTTTTTCATACTTGAGAAGGAAAAAAAGGGATAATGAAAAGCCATATAAAAACACAATAGATAGTTATATTGCTTATAAAAATAGATACAAGAAAAACTTTACTTCTGCACCTCTATGAAATCCAAATTTAGCTGTCCATATGATAACTTGGGCACAAAATACCAGTAATATATAGTCATATGAGCTCGCCCCCTTCATTCAGACTTCTTCATATGCTAATTTCTCTCCAAGATAGATGGTGTTAATTGTTAAAGCTCTGAATGCAACATTCTGTTTGACCATTTGTATGTCCTGTAATGAATCACAATGTGGTATTTTATAATATAATATATCTTTTTATAACAGGTTTCTCCCAAGTCACTGCAAAATTAATGGTCTTGCTACTGTCATGGAAAATAAAGTTAAAAGTATTAAATGTACAATAAAAAGTACATTCCTCTTTTGATGTCATGAATAGCAATCTTCCAAAGTTAAGTCACACATGAATACTATGTTTGATGTTTAAAATAAATAAACTAGACATCAAAGGTTATATAATTAATATTATGTTATTTTAATACTTTCAGATGATTTAAAACAAAAGCTTAGCATATGATTGAAGTAAAATGTTTTAGATCTTATACATTTTTTTAAATGGTGAACAAGAAACACCAAATGATCCTCACAAGAGGCACATTATGTATGTTGAAATATTAAAAAGAAAATAATGAATAAAATTTACAAAATACTACAATTACTAGAAATTGTAATCTTTTCTTTTAGAAGTCCATCAAAATTAGCCAGTTGGTTCATTTGTCTAAGGACTCATGGACCAGTTCTATACTTTATTTAAATGAAATAAAGCCAGTAAATGGATATCAGTACAATTTCAATAAATGCAAGAGTAATATAATTTGGAAAAAACATTTAAAAACAAATATCCACTATTAAGTAATTAAATTGTGGCTGTAATGATGGCAGATTGCAGGCTCAAGTTAGTCATGTACTTTTGTAGCAATAAATGTAAAAAGCAGCAATAAACATTTCAATACTGAAAATCAATGTTAGAACATAAATTAAGTAAATTGAAATTATTCTGTTGTCTTTAGTCCTCCCTTTGTAAATGAATGTTTATTTTTTTTTACATTCATTCAATACTGTTAGCAATTGACTGTAATCAGCCAAGTTCTGTTAGCAGGCAAACATATATACATAACCGAAAAATGTATATGAATATAAAAATGCTCATACCCATAACTGCCTTTGTTTTTCTTTTTTTGTCACATTATTACAACCTAATGCCTTTTCAACTGCATAAATAAATATCTCAAAATTATCTGAAAATGTATGACCCTTACCTGAAATAAAACAAGAATAAATAATTTAATAAAAAATCTATCAGTAACATACTACAGTGCTGCAAATAATAATATAGGAATAATAGTGTTTCAATCTGCTGAAGCTCTGGAGGGGAATATGTATACATCAGGACCTAAAACCAATACTGAACTCGTGATCACATGATACTTGATGAGGAGGAATAATTTAAAAAATCAAAACACTGCCCTGTGGATTAAACTTGTATGGGGAAAAAATACTATATGTATATTCTAACAAGTTATTGAATCAGACTTAAATCCGTCTTACCATCTTTTTTTTATATAACTTCAGATAAATTATACTAAGGTTTTGCAATTAATAAATGTATCCAGTGACTAGTTTATGAGACTCCATTTGATATTAATGCATGTTTCTGCATGATTTCAGATAATACCATCTTAAAGGACTTCCATTCAGCTATCTTTATATGAGGCAAACAGCGTATTGTATAAGGCAGTGTTAAAGAGCAGGAATTGAACTGGAAGAAATGACGATGATACCATCTTCAAGAAAGCCATTAGGAAGTTTAGGGGTGGTACTTAGCGTAGTACATTCTTGACAGCCATCTAGTCTTTAATCAATATAAACTGTTTTATGTTCCCATATATATTTTAGACATATATATGAACATTTAGAGATGACTGTGCATAAATGTAGCTATTCTACACTCACTGGATCTGGAAATGTTCAAATACTTTACAAAAGAAAAAGAAAATGCCAAATGTAATCCCACAAGACCTATTTCATGATCTCAATTTTGAAAACACATATGTATGAACACCTTTACAACCCAGGAGGTCAACCATTGCTCCTCATACTGTTTTAATATTAATCCATGACAAGTTGTACCATACTAGGTAAAAATAAAAAAATGTTCAAAAGTAAACTCCGAAATATGACAAAAGTAACCAGCATGGAACAACAAACCCTCAGACTACGATTTGATTATATATCTCTATAACCAAGATAGACTGACACAGAAGACTGTGATCGTAGAAGTGTATATCAACCTGGTAATTAGCAATTTAAAGGATGTTAAGTCAAAGTCACATACTAAGAAGCAGGTTAATCCACATAGTCAAGGGCTAAACAGGATCCGTGATTCTAGCACCTCACAGCCCATAAACCTCTTCATGAAAAAGACTCGGTGATTCTCCAATACGTCACCAATTTCTTGAAGGAAAATAATTATCAACAAAATGTAGAAAGGAGGGGAAAAAATTATATAATAACATAAGTCATTCTGTGAAAAATATAAATAGAGTCTACAATTTATTTTTTATATATTTCTCTGAATGTTCCTTCTAAATTCATACTAGTGAAGCTTCTCTTTTCTGCAAACTCTAATGCTAAACTAATTCCAAAACTTGCAGAACACTTTCCATCTGTCTTTCCCATTTGATATTCAATACTCGTCTAAACCTCATTCTCGTAATCCAGATAAAATGAGAACATTCTGACAGAGAAAATATATTAGACATTCAGCCAGTAAGTCTTCTTCCACATAACAGAGGAAGGTTTACAGTGAAAATATAGAATACATATGCTCTGAAATGGTTTCTCTTCCGTTATTTTTTATCCTGTCAAAAATATATCCATTTTATCATACTTTGCCTGGAATCAACAAGTCTTTCAATCTGATAATAATATGAGTGTATTGGTCATTTATGTGAAAAGAAATTCTGGTAGCAAGAACAACAGTCATATCCACAAAATATCTTGTGTTGCAAAGTCTGACCTTGGCTCCCATTGGTTACCCTGTTTAAATACCCAATATCATTCACCTATATATCCTAACAAAACATTTCTCTTTCCTTACAAATATCTTTCCGTATTATTATGGAATATAAAGCTCTCCATATACAAACAAATATTTAACATTACAATAGTTGAGTGATGCTATTCCTAATCTGAAGATGATCAGGGTGGCAACATTCCCATGCACCTTAACAGTTGCCATTACCTTAAATGAGAAATGTGCGCACCTAGAAAGAAATGAGAAATTGGCCGTTAAAACATGCTTATGACATTCGTCTAACTTAATGTAGTATTTTAAATGTTTTTGCTGCTTGCAGAATAGGAAATAACACAAACCTAAATTCATCCAAAAGCTTATAGTTAAAACACTCACCTAGGTATTAACACCATATTAACTCGTATTTGCACACTGTTTTCAAACCCTTATATTTACTTAGCAAAAATATCAATGACAACCAGAAAGAAAACTAAAAAATATGAATAAAAACAGAAGCTTCATTGATTTAAACTCAAAGAATGAGAATGCCCAAATGAGATGGGAATAAACATCAAGAATTATAGCACTCATTTCCCTATGTGTTTTACTACTCTTCTGTAAATTAACTAATATAAGAGAGCATTACTGAAGATCTAGAATTTTTGTAAATACTTTTAACTTTGCATAACGCATACTTGTTGACTGCACTTTGAATATTTTAAAGTTTTGAGTGAGAAATGTGCATTCAAAGATACACTAAAAGAATAGTCCTGAAAGAAGGTTTGAGTTGCTAAGACACAAGAAGTCTTATGGAATTAAACTTGAGATAACTGCTGTTGCAAAACAAGTCATCTAGGGGGGTGGAAAGTGAGCAGACGAGACTCAGAAATTCACAGAAAAAGTAACAAGAATATTTATGAAAACTTAGTAACTAACCTGTCTTTTGTGTTACTTTCTTTTGCTTGTTATTCATCATGTTTTGTTTATTATCTCTTTTTCAATGTTTATAATTATGTGCTACAAAATAATAGTCTTAAAAAATTCAAGGCAGAATTCAAGTGGGAGATTCTTGTGAGGGTGAAAAAATATAACATCAGTAATTGGATTTACAAATAAAATTAATCTTATCACAGTTCTGTTTCTAACCTGAAATATTAAAAAAATAAAAATCAGATAATATACTTAAAAGTTATAATGGAAGTCAGCTCATATATAAAGCTACTAGTGTTGACAACTGCTACAAATATAGGAGTATAATCCCACTTAGTTTATCTTTACAAATTTTGCCTATAACTAAACATACTGGTGCAAAAGCTCTAATATATACTACAAAATAAGATATGCAGGTGATGATTTTTTTAAAAATACACACAAACCAATAAAACAAAATAAAAAAAACTACCAAGAAGCACAAATTACTTTTCCTATCAGCCCCAGCTATCTGACTCTCCACCACTGGTAGGCTGCTTGCTCAACCTTGTGCTGGGGTCTTTGGGTCTCACACTCGGAATGCTTTGTCTACTATCCAGATCTCTGTCACGTGAGGTTGTCAAGGTTGCTCCTGCTTGTGAGGAGATTGAGGAGGTTGCGAGCCTCCCTGTGGATCCTACTCTAGTGAGGGGGCTGTCCTCTGTTGCCCGTCTGTACGTGATGGGGGACGGGTGGATGGACTCCTGGCTAGTCGCTCGGCGGGACAGCTGGGAAGAGGTGCTCCCAAATGCCAGTCTCCAGGGCTCCTTTTGGGAGTCGGAGCTGCTGGAGACAGCCTGGCTCCTCTCAAGTCCTGTGTCTGAGGAGGAGCTGTGGAGGTGGGATGCATGTGCTTTACTAAAACTACGGCGCCGCTCTAACTGGGCCGCCCCCTGTGATTCTGCCGCCGGTGGGGAGTCGGCTCTACTGGGTAATGATGAGGAGACTGGAGTAGGGTGGGGGTCAGGAGGCAACACCTTGACTGGGGGTCGTGATCCCTCTTTAGTCCCAGGGGGGGAAGGTGTTGTTCCAAGGGCATCTAATGCACGGTTAATGTTTTGGAATCTCTGTACCCGTCGCAGTTCCTGTGAAGCTTTCTCTCTCTCAAACCTTTCATCCGTCAGGTCCCGTCTAAGTCTCTCCAGGTCACTCTCTAGCTGCGTGGTTCTTATTCTAAATCTCTTCCCCTCTGACATTTCATCCTCCAGTTGAGCTTGCAGTTCTGATATCTGGACAATAAAATTTTGAAAATGTAATACACATTACAATAACACTGAATGGTGTCTTTATAGGTAATTGTTTCATAATACAACAATCAGTGGTGTTTATAGGTAATTATCTGATCCAGTTAAGACAACTAACAAGTCTGATATATTGGCATTCTTGAATATCAGCAGTAAAATATAATAATGTCTATAGTAAAATACCTATTTACTTTACCTTAAAGCAGTTGTGGCACATTAAAACATTAAAATAATATGAAGTAAAATACTTATTCATTACAGATTTTAAATCTAAATTTGGTATGGCATTTGACGATTAGGGAGAAAATATCTGTGAATTTTCTGTACAAATATTACAAAGCACACCGATTGAGAAATTAAGATGTTATCTTTGCAAAACACTATTTTCTTGAAATTTGGAAGGAAGTATCTGAAATATGTAGCAATGAACATGTAATTGACACCATTAAAGATCCGACTCTGAAAAGTAACTGGATAATGCTATTAATCCATAAGAAATTAAATTTGAGAGGTACTTAGTCAACAGAAAAAAGTTGAAAGCATAAAAATGAAACACTTAAAATATAATCTAAGACCTGTATTAGATGTATGTATATATATGGAAAGGTAGTGATCAAAGTATTTGTAGTTGGTAATAAAACCAAAGAAGTAATAAAGTAATAATCTTACTTGATCCTAAAAAAAAAAAATAAATAAATAAACTATAACTACTACATCAATATCAATGACTTGGACCTCATAATATCCCCGTAGACTTTTTAAAATGAAAAAAAATGATGCAAGTCTTCAAAATCAAAACTCTTTACACAATACTAAAGGGACACATCCACTACCTTTCTCTGCAGCTGGCCCTTCTCCACCTCCAGCTGCTTGTTATTGGCCTCCAGAGACCACTCGGACCTGCGCTTGTCGTTGAGGACTTCCTCCATCGACCTCACTGTAGTCCGTTCACTGTTCAGCTGGCTGCTGATGGCCTCTAGTCTCTGCTCCAAGGAACGCTTCTGTGACATCACCTGTGAGGTATGATTTATTCTGAGTTACGTTGAGGTAAGATATAAAAGGTGATTTTACTTTCAGTTAGTAGTATATATATATGGGTGACAGTGATTTTTATATCAGTAAACAAAATTTTATCAAAAACTATTAAATATAGATTTTTTTCAAGTTTAAAATGAGGCTCTAACAGCAAGAGGAACTCAAAATTCAATAAAAAATCCTCATTTACACTCTACAACTTTTAACTAAAGGAGACAACGTAAGAACCCAGCTTTGCCTCACCTTCTCGAGGCTAGTGGAAAGTCTGGCCACCTCCCCCTCGGCCTGACCTCTCTTCATGTCCAGTTTCTGCGTCAGGTCACGCGTGTTGATGAGGTCCTTCTCAATGTTGTATTTCTCCTCTTCGAGTTTCTTGCAGGCTTCTTCAAGTTGGTCGCACTTCTGGCTTGCCTCCATCATCTGCAGGTGGAATGCAAACAGGTTATGAGAGAGAGAGAGAGAGAGAGAGAGAGAGAGAGAGAGAGAGAGAGAGAGAGAGAGAGAGTGTGTGGAGTGTGTGGATGTGTGTGGATGTGGTGTGTGGATGTGATGTGTGTGGATGTGGATGTGTGTGGATGTGGATGTGTGTGTGGATGTGGATGTGGATGTGTGTGTGTGTGGATGTGTGTGGATGTGTGTGGATGTGTGTGTGGTGTGGATGTGGATGTGGATGTGTGTGTGGATGTGGATGTGTGTGTGTGGATGTGTGGATGGTGTGTGATGTGATGTGTGTGAGTGTGTGTGTGTGTGATGTGATGTGTGGATGTGGATGTGTGTTGTGGATGTGGATGTGTGTGTGTGATGTGTGGTGTGTGATGTGGATGTGGATGTGTGATGTGGAGTGTGTGTGGATGTGGATGTGATGTGTGTGGATGTGGATGTGGATGTGTGATGTGGATGTGATGTGGTGTGTGTGTGTATGTGTGTGTGATGTGTGTGTGTGGTGATGGTGTGTGATGTGGATGTGTGTGTGGATGTGGTGTGTGTGGATGTGGTGTGATGTGTGTGTGGATGTGGATGTGTGTGTGGATGTGGATGTGTGTGTGGATGTGGATGTGTGTGTGTGGATTGTGTGTGGATGTGTGATGTGTGGATGTGATGTGATGTGTGTGTGGATGTGGATGTGAATGTGTGTGGATGTGATGTGGATGTGAGTGTGTGTGTGATGTGATGTGTGGATGTGGATGTGTGTGTGGATGTGTGTGTGTGTGTATGTGGATGTGTGTGTGGATGTGGATTGTGTGTGTGGGATGATGTATGTGTGGATGATGTGATGTGATGTGTGTGTAGAGATGTGGATGTGTGTGTATGTATGTATGTGTGTGTATGTGCATGTGCGTGTTGTGCGTGTGCATGTGCGTGTGCGTGTGTGTGTGTGTGTGTGTGTGTGTGTGTGTGTGTGTGTGTGTGTGTGTGTGTGTGTGCGTGCGTGCGTGTGCGTGCGTGCGTGCGTTGCGTGCGTGCGCTGTGTGTGTATGTGTACGTGTACGTAACGTGTACGTGTACGTGTACGTGTACGTGTACGTGTACGTGTACGTGTACGTGTACGTGTACGTGTAGTGTACTGTGTACTGTGTACTTGTACTTGTATGTACTTGTACTTGTACATGTGTGTGTGTGGGGGGGTGCGTGTGCGTGTGCGTGTGTGTGTGTATGTGTGCGTGCGTGCAACAAGTAAGATATATTACCTGAATAATCACATTCTTCCTCATTTTATTACATGACTAACTATTTGAAAAAATCTACCTGTACTCACACACACATTACATTCTCTTCGATTCCCAATACAGGGCAAACTACTGAAAAAAAAATCCTACCTGAAGCTTCTAATATATTACTTGACTCTCACCTCTTTCCAATACAGAGCAAAGTAGATAAAAATTCTACCTGTACCCACAAAGACATTATCTAACTCACTCCTTCCCACTTACAGGACAAACTACAGAAAATATCAACCTGTACTTACAAATTCATTGCCTGACCCTCACACCCTTTCCCAGTACAACTCAAATCACAGAAAAAAAAATACAACTCAAAGCACAGAAAAAATACTACCTTTAGCTACAAAATTCAATATCTGATCCTCACCCATTCCCAACACAAGGGAAATACCCCCACCCACTGAAACATTACCTGACTGATAATCTCCTCCCTCTCTTCCTTGAACTTGGCCATCATCGCCTCCATCTTCGTCATCTCCTTCTCCCTCGAGCTGATGTTCTCCTCCAGGGATTGGTTCAGGGACTTGAGGGATGAGACCGCTTCGTTGAGGTTGAGGTACTGCTTCTTGAGGCTGGACTGTTCCGAGTCCTAGAAGTATCGGGGAGGTTATTGTGTGTTATTCTTTAAATACTTCTTTAATTGTATTCACTGGCTGATTAATAAACATTTTGTAAAATAAGTCATTTTAAGGAAAGACACTAAAAATAATAATAATTGCAAACGTAATATTCACATACATTAAACAAAGTAGTGCAGATTGTATAAATAACATCATAAAAATTAGTAAATTATCCACACACTCTCATGAGTGCATAAAAAAATACAATAAACTCCAAACATATGACACAACACGGGCAAGCCAGTGCAATTCAAGTCCTCAAAGCTAAAATAGACAAGTATGGGATATGTGATATCTGCAACCACAGAAAACGAGAATTTCACTGGACCGAGAAGAATGAAAGAAAACTTACCATATAGCTAATTAGGAGACACTCAAGAAAATCTTACCATACAGAAAAAAAGTCAAATTAACTACATCTATCGCTTGTAGTTCCACATATTCCTTAACAATTAAACCAACAAAAGACTAAACCCAATTACCCTAACATATTACCTACCCCATGGACTAATATTACCTCCTCCAAGCCCTTACCTTTGAGGACAGGATATGTGTCAGCTCCTCTAAAGTCCTGCAATATTCCTGCGCCTTTTTCTTAAAGTTATCCTTCGATATTTGGCACTTCTCGAGCTCTTCCCGCAGGCTCTTGTAGCTCTGGGTGAGGCCTGCGATCTCCTTCTGCAAACGTCTGCCAGAGAAAAAAATCATAAAAAAATAAGAAGTCCTATGTCTCTCATTACACTGGTTTCTATTTTTATAAATTTCTGCATTTACCGATATTGGTTTCCATGAGTTTTTTTTCTATATTTCTGCAATCACCACACACTGCACCACATACCCATATACCTAAATACATATATACACCCAAATACATAATACCCATATTAAATATACCTAATATAAATATAAATATTACCTAATACATACATAAAAATATACCTAAATATATACATAAACATATAAATATACCTAAATACATACACATAATACACCTAAATACATACATACACATTATAAATACACCTAAATACATACATACACATAAAATATACCTAAATACATACATACCCATATAAATATACCTGAATACATACATACAAATATAAAATATATCTAAAATACATACATATACATAGATATACCAAAATACATACACACACACACACACACACACACCACACACACACACACACCACACACACCACACACACACACACATATACAGCTAAAATACAAACATACATGCATACACACATCCACCCAGCCATATACACGCCCCACCCCCATCATACGACCAGGAACCTCCCACTCACATGATCTCCTGGTTGGCGCCGTCCCTCTGCAGTGTGGCCGTGGCGAGGTCCTGCTCCAGACGCCCACATCGCCGCTCCTCGCTCTCGAACTTGCGCTCCTCCGCCGCCACCGCTGACATG